CCCCAGCCAGCCATGCTGGCTGGGGAATTCTGGGAGTTGAAGTCCACTCATCTTAAAGTTGCTGAGATTGAGAAACACTGAGCCCTAAAATGGCAGGAAGTTGGGATATTTATGCCATGTTCGGGATTTGATTCAGAGGAGGTATTTTGAAATATGCAGGGGCATGAACTCAGCACTTCTCTCTGATTTGTTAAAGCAGTAGCAGCAAATCTATAAATTTTGGGGATTACACAGCTCTGTTGGGATGCTTCTGGTGCAGCCACACGATCCAGGAAACAGATGAAGTTGCTTTAATGAGTCAGACAGAAACTGCACTCACTTTCTGAAGCTCTTTGAGTCTGAATCAAATCTCAAGCATTGCACAGCCTAATCCTCCAAATCCACTCGACTCTAGGAGATTTTTGGATAGAGATAAATAAAAAGAATATGGCAATGATCATCTTTTTAAGTGTGGATATAGAAAAGATGTGATTTTCTCTATTGCCAGCATGTGGCCACCAACAAATTGGCAATGAAGGAATGACCACTGATATAAATAAAAAGCTTTTTGTCCTGATATATGCCCCTGCCTAAGATTATATTCAGGAGTCTAGCATATTGCTGCTGTGGTCAGATATTCTAACTGGTTATTTTAAGAATCTGTTGTCTTAGGGAAGAAAAGGGGTCTTTGTGTGTTAGGTACGGAGATCTCATAGTTTACATCTAGTTGGGGGTTAGAAAATCCCCATTTCTAGGGGTAGAGGCAAACAACCTGTCAGCTAGATGGCTGCACTGCACTTTGCCCAGCGTGTCACATTCCAAAAGTGGAGATGGCCTGGACCTAAAAATGGGGATCATGAAGTAAGGCTGATTTTTTAAAGGCATGAAATGAATGCCTTAAGCTTCGCAATTGGCCCCTTAAAATCCACCCCAAATCCTAAGCATTAAAAGGCTGTATTTTCTGTCCCTACCTGTTCTTGGGACTACAAATGGGGTGCTACATATAACTTATGGGCCACTTTGTGTACCTCTAACATAGGATGTATGGCATCATATTTAAATTTCTCTCAAAAAATGATAACCACATGAGGAAATAGATAAGTAGGCTCAAATTAATAAATCACATTTGGGATATCATGTAGGCGATGTCCACCAACTTTATCTGGAGCTGTGACTTAGATCCAAGTTTTGTACTTAGTAAATTTAAATAATTGTCTCTCTGTGTGTCACCTGAGAATCTTGAATAAGAAGCATCTGATTAGTTTTTTTTTAATATTCTCCAAGAATGAACACTGCACAGATTGCAGGTTTTCAGGAAGATGTTGGTACACGAACCACACATCATTTCATGTACCCAGAGAGTGCTGTGAATCTCCATCCTGGCATACATCTTGTACTAGTCCCTTTCAAACCCCTAGATCTCAAATGGCTGGCCAGTGCCCTTTCAACAGGAGACATCCAGCAGTAAGTATCCTCCCTAAGTAATTACAGTATAAAAAACTAGACAGTAACATAGTAATATCATGCTATCAAGCATTCATAGTGATATCAGGATATCAAGCATGGATCCACTCCTGGATGGCAAGCACATTTCTTACTATTTTAGATATCTATTTCTCATTATCACTTGTTAAAGAAACTTCCCATGAACTTGGTTTTCCATAAATTGATTTTAGACAGTCTGCCAACCAGAAGAAAAACAAGAATGATGGTTAAAATCAGAAGTCTCCTCCTGATTTTGGGCTATCATAGACCACCTCTCTTCCTACAATGTCTACAATGATAATTAAAAGAACATCACATAATGTTGAATGCTAAGATTCTTCCATTCCTTTCACAGAACATATAAAAGAGTTAAACAATTTATTAAAGCTGATAAAAGCAAGGTAAGGTGTGAATGAAGAAAGCAATAACGTAATTATTATTAGAAACATTACAGCTCTTTCCATTTTTTGTGGATTAAAAATAATCAGTATTGGAGTCTCAGCTTCATAAATAAATTGAATCATATGTATTCTTTTATATATATCTTATATATTAAATGCATAGTATTTCAAGCTGATAACATGCCTTGTTAAATAACAAAATATGGGAGGCAGAAGGAAAAAAAGGTTGTGGAAGCCACTATACTCATTCTTAACAGTCAAAGCAAACCTGTACTATGAAGGACCCAACTATTAACCTGGTAAGAAAATGATCTGATCTTGTTCCAGATTACAGGTGTGGTATTTTGTGGCACCTTGGCCCTGAAGCCATGGAGTAACTGCACATGCTATCAGGGAGTGATATTATGCCCAGGGAGAGGGGATCATCCAGTCTACTTTAAGGCCTAGGGGACATTAGGCAGGACTTTTCTTGTTCAGGAGTTCTTCTTATAAGAGGAGGACCAATTTGAAGAGGGATCTATGATCAATCTGAGTGAATCTTGTTTTAAAAACTTTTCTTCTTAGGTTCTAATACTTTACCCTGGTTTCCTGAAATACATCCAAGATAAATGGACAAAATATCATGGAAGGTATCCTTCCACTGGATTAATTGCATTGATTTTTGCCATCCATACTTGCACACAGGTAGGTGCACCAAAAATAACCATCCCTCTTATCTCTGTAGATGGGTTCAGAGCTGAATGGCTGTTGAGTGCCTATTGCTTAACTAACCACTTTTGGCTCTATTCCCAAAACAATTTCTCTTTACAATTTATTTAGCAATAAAAGTAATGTTGGGAAGCTACTAAATGGCAGATCATATGTGGGCAGTATCGAAACTATGCAGGACCCTTTGTACCTTAATCACCGAGATGAAAACTATGACAAAAATTAAATTCAACCTACTATTAAACATGAGCTACTGTATGTTTTAACAACTAACTGCAATTTCACTTTCCACCCATATTTATTTAGTTTGTTTATTTGTTCATATTTCAAATTTAGTCACTGCCCATCTTACTCAAGAGCGACTCTGGGCAGTTTACAGCAAAACAAGAATAAATAATAACTAAAATACAATAAAAAACCATGTTCATACATAAATAATGGCTCCCTTTCTAAACAAAGAGTGACACTGACATTGGAGGAAGGGTATAAATAACGCACCTCTGGCATTTCTATAATGCAGTAGACTATGGCAGACAACCTGATACAATATTTTGGATGTTTTGTATTACAAAGCTCATCTATTCCATCCAGCATGGCCAATGGCAAGGAACTAGGGGAAGTGAAATCCAAAACATATAACAGGGATTAGGCTTCTGGTCTCTGCAGCGGATGTGTTACATTTAAGATATTTGCAGAATTTACCCTCATTTACTCCTATATGTGGTAGGTCTCTGCCTTTGGCTTCGGTGCAAACAGCAACGGGAACTGGCATCACTACTGGGAAGACAACCGTTATGGAGGAGCCTTTCGCAAGACTGGGGTACACAATGCCACTTTTGAACTACAACTCATTGAAAGACTGGCAATTGAAGGCAAACTGTCATTCTATAAATAGCTTCCTCCAAACTTTATACTACATGCTTAAGCTTGCTTAATTAGACTGAAATAGGGATAATGCCTCCCCAAAATGTCTTCTAGTCTTTCACATTAGGATTTTTTAATTCCCTCTGTTCTGGCTTCGAAGACAAGCAAAACTGAAATAAAATCTATAACACGAGAAGAGGATGCATTTCTATTTGTTAATGCATCAAATATTAAAAACAACAATAGTAACATGGTCCTGCTTTTCTGAATTTATGTATTTTAGAGCAACAGACTTTATAAACATAATTTGTTACTAGCTTCAGATTTTGCTTGTTTCTTCAAGTATAAAACCACAGGCAGAACAATTTAGATTTACTAGCTGTGCTATTGGCAGCAGAAGAAATTGGAGTACCAAAAGTAGCTATTTAAAAAACGTATTTCTGATTATTTTCATAGCAGGTGTTTGAATGTGAAATATACCTTTGAATTTGAAGAATAAACTTTGTGATTATTCATTTTGTGCTTCTCCTTCCCCCCATCATAATTTATGAATCAAGTTCTCAATAAATTATCCAGATTATTTTTAAGCAATACTAATTGATATTACTTGAAAATGATTGCTGGAGGTATGTATATATTAGAACAGCCATTATTTAACAATGTCTAATACACTAATTGGCAACTCTACATTAAGCTTCATCAATTCTAGACCCAATATCAAAACATAGAAGATGAATATTAGCAATAATAGGAAAAGATTCACATTGTTTCTTTGATTTTTTTTTCATTTAAAACTTTATTTAAACAATGGTAAGCCAAATAGCCAATGATTTGGTTCATAACACAGCCTTCTATGACAGTAGCTCACTTTTTGTTGGCATGACCATTCCCATGATTAGATTTATTGCAGGATAAACTTTTTCTCTGTGAAGAAAAACTGGAATGCAGGATAAATTTATTGTACTGGGGGGGAAAAACTAGAATCTAAATGCTTTTATGCTGCTTCAATTAGAGCAGGAGTAAATAAGTAGAGGGTCAGATTGGCGCCCAACCCTACTTCATTGGCCCCTGGAACCTTCGCAACTGCTCTGATGAGCTTTTAAGCAGAAAACTCCCCCCACCCCTAAATTCAGCCTAATTCCCAAACCCTGGAAAATCTTGACCAGTTGGTCCTGTTCAATTTGCATTGTTCCTCAACCCATTATGACTCTCAACATTTCACCAAACATCACATGTAGTTCCTAGCCACAAGATTATCAACCCCAAGTTGTTGTACTTTAGCCACTGCTGCTCTCTAAACTCAAAAAGACAACATATAAATGAATTAATTATTAAAACATTAAAAATTCAGTTACATGGGTACTGACATTAAGTTAATATGAAGAGTAAAGTGCCATAGTGGTACAGTTGATATATACTACAAAGATGGAGTGAAAGCCAGTATGAAACTATTTGTACATTAGGTTCCAAAACCTTTCACCTAGAGTAGGCATAAATTCAACAGGTCATCATTATCACAACCACAAGTGATATAATTTCCTTACCTGATCAATCATCATAATGATTAATGAATAGGATGCTTCAATTAGCCGGACAGTGAGGCGAAGAGTGAGATACTGCTAATAAATATATGAGGCATTGGGAAAAGAGGTCTGAGACAGGAACCAGTAATTTCACACTGTATTTCAAGAGATTCTAATCAACTTTAGAAAATTAATAGCCAAAGATGAAGATCATGATCACCTAGTGCAGACAGTGGTTAGAATTACTGTTAGGTGCTGAAGAGAGGAAAAACTGGGTTATGGAAGGCTGCTAGAAGCAATATTTTTGGATAAAACAACTCTTGATGCTTGATAAGCAAGCTTTAAAAAAGCAAATTATCAGATCACTTTAGTAAAACTTTTTCCTGAGAATTTATTCCAACCACACATTTTACAGTATCACTAAATACAAATTAAATTAGAAATAACTAGTTTTAGACATGTAGAAGGTCTTGTGGTCTATATTCTGGATGCTGCTGCTCTTTCTTTTGGAATCTAGAAACGGAAATATATGCCAACACATTAAGATGAATATTGAAACAGAAATGTTTTAACAGCCACAAACATTGATGTTTAAATTTAATCCCTGTTTTACTTGTCCCAAGACTGGAACATCAGTCTCTCCTCAAAGTTCCAGTTATCTTTGCTTGGCACGTTCAGATTGGACATTTCTGCTAGGATTGTTTTTAATTTCTTCAAGTCTTTTAGGAAGTATTATAGCTACTAATCTATGTAGTTTTTCCAAGTTCGATTTTCTTCTGAATGGCTCGAGCTGAATGATAGATCAAAGAGTCAATGAGTCCTGCAACTGGAAGAAGGAAAAGGAAGATCAGTCTGGTTAGTCCACATAGAAAGAAAAGAAAAAATAATAATAATTGCAATATTGCCACAATAAAAAGAACCCCATTGGCATTTTTTCAAAATTCTACTCTTATGGTATAACAAATTCTTAGCCATGTCAATTTAATCTTGTCAAGTCAATAAGGAGTTACACTATTTTAACAACTTCATAATAAGTAGAGGCCACAAGCATTACTCATTAATACTAGCACTGTCAAATTTTCCCTATTTCTCATTTTATTTCCACTACTAATGGCAATTCTGCCATCTTGTAAATGATAGCAGAATTGCTAAAGCTTTCCATTTGAAAATGCCCTGGAAATATGGTGTATTGATCAAAACATTTACAAACTAATTTCAAATTCAAAATGAATAGAAAACCATTCAAATTTTTGAACACACAAATCCAGTTACCTGTAAACACTCCTCCAATGATGGCACAGACACCTGTGAGAAAATGTGTAAAGGACCTGGATTTGGGGAAAAAAATCATCGTGTTAATATATATTTACATTCTGAATGCAAATATTTAAACATGAAATCAGGGAGAGAATTAATCGTTTTATTAAAGCCATTTCATTAAGCCTTATGATAACTTCTATACTCAGATAGAAGTCAGAGAGATAATCTCATCTTGGATTTGTGAGCAGCCTCCAGAAACCACATTTACGATCTATCTGTATGCATCATATATTTCACATGAAACATGGCTCTTGCAGACAAGTTGAATGCAATTTCATTTGGGGGAAATCTAGCTGTTTTTTGCTTCACACTCAGGCTCATGTTGAGAATTTCTCACCTGTGCTTCTCTGTTAATTTCACCATCATGGGAGAAAGCTCATACAGTACAAACACACCAGGTAGGCCTTGATCTCCAATTAGTCCATTAGCTATTTTCTCATGCCGTGTTACTGAAAATTGATTTGTCCTCACCACCTATAAAAATATTGAAATAGTTGATTAGAATCAGGCATCATCCAAACTGAATAAAATAAAATAAAAATAAAAATGCTGCTGTGTATGGCTTTGTGTATTCTTCAGCTAGTAGCATTGTGAAGTGCATGTCACCCATTTCTCTCTTATGTATGCAAGGAGACTGCAACCATAGTAACAGTGACCTGCAATCCAACTCTCTCCTTCCAGAAATTCTAGAATATCTGTGATCCATATTTTGGGAGACCCCAGCTCCTGACTGTTTCCTGGCTTAATAAATAACGAAGTATGTAGAATTGTTTGCAATTTGCTATCTTCTATTTATGAATGCTATGTCTCTCCATTCCCAATTAAACATAGTAAGTTATTTCTACTGGAAAGGACCCTGCTGGCAATCTGAATTCCCCTTCATCCTGTAGCCTCTCCCACCTGAGTTTCTCACAGCAGATTTGGAGGGCATGTAGAAGGAAGAGAAAATAACAACAATAACATCTGAGTAAAAGGCTGTTCATCTAATGTTGGATTTAACCAAATGCAATAATATGGATAGCAATCTTCTATATAAAGAAAAGATAATACACAGCTCTTACCTCACCATCAACTTTCATGTACACTGTGGGGACTACTTTTACAAAATACTGGAACATCATGGAAGCTAAAAGACAAAATAAAATCTTAATGGGTATGCATGAAACAGAAAATATGTTTTGTTTTGAACCCAGAAATATGGTATCCAAAGGTTCTTCTGGATTGTTTTAGACTAACTGTAGTTCAGGAGAATGAAAGAAAAATCACTTTGGTTGTTCTTGGGATTGAAACAAAATTGGAAGGAACCCCAGAGTGATTTTACAAGGCACAGCAAAGCTGGTGTGCATCTCCCCACTTTCTTGTCTCATCTGCATGGTCAGCCACCCCATCATCCAAGCACCTTCCCTCTCCTGCTTCCCTTCAACCACCACAGCTGCCATCAGTGTCCGCACACCCAGATCCAAAGGAAATCCCTCAGTGCTGCTGCCACAGATGTCCACATACATTATTGGCAAAGAAAACCAAGAGTTACTTTTCCCCATTTTTCCTCCTCAAACCATTTCTAACTGGAAAATGCATTTTCGACCACCATATCTGGAACAAAACACCCCCATTTTGTTCCATACAAGGACCCAAACAACTGAAACATTTATCTTTAGGCTGGGGGTCCAGCTCCTTCATGCACAGGATAGTTCATGCCCAAGTTTAAGTAAGTATAAGTAACCAAAATTGACTAACAGTAGAACTCAACCAGTAATTTGGTAGGCACTAATAGACTTGGACATGAAACCCACCAGGATTTTATCTTCCCATTCTCTCCACACTGCTTGTGAAACTTCTCTCAATATCAAAAAGGATTGCCACACAACTTATTGGATTGCTGCCTGAGAAAAAATCCAAGATTTCCTCCAGAATTAATTATTATTATAGACTTAATAATGAACTTTGGATCCAGAAAAAACAAAGCCACAGCATACAAATGTGTTTTAAAGTTAATTTCTTACATGCTAATATCTAATAAACAGAAAGAAAAAGACGCCCTCATGACAAGCTCCACTTCTGATGATTATGTGGGAATATCTATGTAGCTGCCTTCTTCCTGGATGTTTTAAAACTTCTCAGTTTATAATCCTGGGATTATTCATGGTCTCCTATTCAAGTATTGATCAGGTATGGCTTTGCTTAGCTTTTCTCAGATAAGCCAAGACTGGTAGGTGCTGCCACCTACTAAAAAGTAGGGACATGCAAAACTCTGGTTAATTGCAGGAACACTGCGTGTTCTGCAGAACATTGTTTTTCCCACAAAATGCACAGCTCTCAAAGTGTTTTTCAGAATAGGAAGTGGTTTGTGGTTGCACACGACTACTAAAGAGTTAAAAGCTGAATGTGTGGACAAAACTTCAAGAAATCTTAAAACTTCAAGAAACTTAAAACAATGACTTGGGATTCAGCAAGAATTTAAAATAGATTAGCATCAGCCATTTTACTGGAGGGGGTTTATAAATTTCACTGAGTTCCCAACCATAACATTATTTTTATTATTAAAGCTTGGATCTGCAATTAATATGACTAAGATGACATATGAAGAAGGAAAGTGAGAGGTTGAGGCCAGGAGTCCTTCCTTAAAGTAATCACCCAATAAGATTAATAATTCATCTTGTAGTGAGTCCTTGTTGTTGCTCTCCCCCTACCCCGCCCCCTCACACAAACTGAAGAGGTTGGAAGAAATTAAAGGGTGACAATGAAAAGAAAGCCATGCAGTTTGGGGCTATCTATTAATGCCTAACTCTGTCCACACCGCTAATGAAAACATGGAGAAAGAAAAGAAAATATAGTTCTGTTAGGCATATATATATATTCCTTATTCTGAAGTCAAAATGGGAGGGAAATTTGCATTTTTATGGTTCTACTGAAAAAGAGGTCAGTTACCAAACTCCATATTATAATTAAAATGATTAGTTTAGCCAAGGCATATCTATTTTAATTGAGCACCCACCGACTTTTAACAGATTTTGTGCTGGTTGTCACCTTTATTTACCAGTTTAGATTGAAAGGCTACTTCAAACCAATACCTTGCTGAGCTGCGACAACTGTCCCATCAAGTGGGTTCACAAGGCCTGGATAATCCTTCCCAAATGAAAGATGCCTGATAAAATGTGTCATGTTCATCTGAAACAAACAAAGTCCCAACATTTCAAGGAGTTGCAGAAATAGCAAGGACAGAACAGGCTGGGGGCTATGTTCTATGTTCATAATGCAGGTACCATACCTTTCATGGATGAAACATGACTCTGTCATGTGTCAGTCCCCAACTAGTGCCTATGCACACACATGCATATCTGAGGTTTCCCTCTTTGTGGATGAGAACAACAAGAGTTTAGCACCTGTGACAGCTTCTGCCAGGTCAGAACTGCTAATATTGTTTCTTTTCTGTCTAACTACATTACCCAAGGGCAGAAGCTATGCAGACCTCCCCCTGCAATTATACATCTGTAGTCCTCCTGGGAACAGCAGCCATAAGAAGAAGATAGGTTGTTTGTGCTCAGTGATATACATGCCACAATCAAAGAGGACAACAATTCTACCAGAAGGGGAGAGGGATTTTTTTAAAGCATGGTGATTCACTAGGTGCTTGTAACAAATGCTCGTAGCAATTTATAATAAGCACACTGTATAATGAACTCTACAACAATTTTTAAATACAATAATTTTATTATTCCTACAGCTACAATGTTATTATTCTCTACAGATGCCACACTAGTATATGACAAATTATCTATATTTGCACTAATAGTAGATCCCCTATCCTTTCCAATGTGAATAGAAAGCTCAGATACAAGTTCTCTTAGGGGACTTACATTGTCAAGTCCAAAGCTCTGAAGATCATGAACTACAAAAAGATAGACAACGCATAAAGTTATTAGAGAAAGCCTTTTTTGTATGAAACAATTATGCATCTTTCTTTTAAAAAAATTAAAAATTGAATTTTTCAGAATTAGCATTTCCAAGTAAAGATCATGATACACTCTTAAACTGAAATAGCTTAAACTTTGCTCCTCAATAGTAAATGCGCGCACACACACACACATCTTTTTAAATCTTCCATTGTGATCTCTAAACTGTCTTCTCCTCAGCAATTTAACAATCTTTTTACTGTTAAAAGTATGCCTATACTGATGTGTAAACTCATTCAGGATAAATTAAAAAGAAAAAAAAAACCAGTGAAATATCCCAACTTGATTGTAATTATTCTGTAAATTAGCTATTTCAGAAAGCATATACTTCATTTAAGCAGGATCTACCAAACACATAGAATTTCCTCTTTAACATCAAGGGTCTTAGAGAAATATAAAGGAAGATTTAAATATAAATTGTTAAAACATTCCACTTATCAACTAAACTTATGAAGCATTAAAATAATCTGTTAAGGATTTGATCAAGGCGATATAGAAGAATGTGTTGGATTCAAGTAATCAGGGATATGAAATGCAAGGGTAACATCTAAGTGAAGCTACATGTGAAGAATCTTAAATAAATTATTGGATGTTCTATTCTCAAGATAATTGTTTCCCATATTATGCAGTAGCAAGCATGAATACTGCTTATATATGCAGAGGCCATGATAGAAGCCTGCCATTTACAGCAGGTATTTCTATCCATGCTTAGTTGAAAAATAGATATTTAGTACACAGGTACATGCAAGGTGCAAGGTACTTTAAATATATATTTTTAAAATGTGTGTGAAACTGGCTTCAGTAAATTATAAAATAGGAGTGAGCATGAAACAGGAAACATTCTATTTCATGACTCAAAAAAACAACCCCATTCAGAATGTTCCAGTGGAACACTTCAAGATGGCTCTGTTTCATACAGATTTTTTTTTAATTGATTCTACTATTAAGCTGTTGTAAACAGTTATCTTGGATGTTGATATCTCTGCTGTACAGAATTTCAGTATACTCTTTCCATCTTCCTTTGATCTTCTTCAGCATACCAATTTGAGGTTGGAAGCTCCTTTTGAGTTTGCAGATCATTGGAAGACTTTCCTTGTTTCTCTGTCTGTTTGCATCTCTGATGTCTTTACAGATATCGTAGTAGTACTGCTTCTTGTCTCTCCTAACACCTCTCTCAAGTTCTTTCCTGAAGACTTTGTCTTTCTTGGCTTTGGATTCTCTTCTTGCCAATTTCCAATGTTTGTTCTGGCATCCAGTTTGCTTTTTCTTTGGCAGTCTCTTTTTACATTAATTCTTAACAGCTTCCTTTGATTTTATTCCAGAGTTCCTCTGGTTCCCTGTCAATGAGGTTCAGGACTTCAAAGAGATTCCTGATATTCTCCTTGAAAATGGTGGGTATATGCTCAAGATCATATTGTGGAAACTGGTAGACTTTATTCTTCTGGTTTAGCTTGACCTAGAACTTGCACATGAGCAGTTTATGACCTGTTGCACAGCCTCTGGCCACACCTTTGCTGTTATAACTGAGCTCACCTCCTTGTTATCAATATAGCAATGAAGAAATCACTGGAGTGGCAGACACTGATAAGTGTTTCTCCTATTTCACTTCTGTTTCTGAGACTATATAGGCTAGCTACTATTTGGCATTCCTGTGTCTAACTGCAAGCGACACATCTTGCCTGGAAGTTTGGTCAGTTTCAGATTGAACTTGACTATGAAACTTGTCAACCTCTTCTTCTGCATCAGTGGTTGTAGCATAAACTTGGATAACTGTCATATTAAAGGATTGTCCGCAAAATCGAACTGATTTGTGGTAACCCTTCATAGATTTTTGCTGATCTGGATTGAATGACGTGGTTTTAAGGATTTGTCTACAGATAAGAGATGTGATATGGGATGAAGAGATTGTTGTATTTTAAGACAAAGTGAGAAGTTGTTAAAATTGTTTATACTTGTTGAGATGAAGGAGGAAGCAACTTCTTTTTATTTCTTTTTCTTTTTTGTTATATTTTTATCTTTTCTTTTCTTTCCTTTATTTTTTCTTTTAAATTATTCTTTTTTCTTTTTTGCATTTTTTACTTTTTCTATTACTTCATTTTTTGTAGTTTGTATTAGTTTTTATCTGTACAACTGTAATACTTAATAAAATTATTTGAAAAAAAATCCAACCAATAAGATCTATAGATTCAGGTAGAACATCTCTACTGTCACATAAGAAAAGCAAACAGCACGTCATATTCATAGTATTTACAGTGCCAGAGCCTGCAATAAAATTGCTGAGCATCTGAAGATCTCTACATCACAAACCTAATGTTTGTTGCTTTAAATTACTGCATGAATTTTTCAATCTTAAAATATCCAAACTGTATTTGTTCTAAAATACACTGGATATCATGTCAAGCATGTTGACATTTTATTTTTATATGTTTAAAACATATTTTATTAAATCAGTCCTGCAAAAGGAAACAGATAATCATATCATCTGAACACCTTTAAAATTCTAGTCATAGCATTTCCTGTACAGAAGGGAATAATGATAAGAAATTATTTGTTAAAAAAAAAAGCAGAGTCCCTTGGGTAGTATGATTTTCTTCTTCCTATGAAAACAGTACTTTTGAAATATTTCCCTTTTGCTAGTTCTTCCACACTCCAGGAACGATATATCAGTGACATTGCTAGAGTTCATGACAACTACTATGCAGTAGTTGGTGGAGTTGATAGTATATAAACACCATCAATCAATCAATTAATATATCCTAAAATTTAGGGGGGGAAAGGGAGAGTTTATAAGATGTTCAAAGAATATGAGTTACTTTACCATGAACATGAGACTGTTGAAAGCTTTTTCCTGGTGCAAAGTGAAAATTGCCAGCTACCTGTAAGAGAAATCCAGATTTCATTCAACGGCCCAGCTCTCTATACCAAACAGCAGCAGCTTTGAAAAATGTGTCTTTTCAAATTAAAAAAACTCTTATCAGGGTATTTAAAAGGGGCACACATACCTTTCCCTGAAATGGAATCTGAACAGATGGTTCTAATGTTTTAAACATAGCCATATATAAATCCTAGTTTTTTCTTTTGTAAACCACGGCTAAATTCAACTTGGCAAAGAATGTTCAGGGCCTCTCAATATATCAACCATTATATAGCCCTTATGTACAAGTTCTGATAGTCCCCCAGCCTCATTTTAAATGCAAATTGTTTACTGCACTGCACGCTGGAGAGATAACAATACTAAGACTGCAGAGACAGAGCCTCAAACATATCTCTTACTATGTTTGAACTCAACATACCATTCTCACTGAAGGAGATGAGGACACATACTCAGAAACAATCCATTCCATTGAACAGTAAACAATTATTTCATTGCAAAAGCTTGAATGGCTAAAGATATGTGATGTTATGTCAAAATCACACTTGATTAAAGAGTAAAGAAATAATTGATGCAAATAAGCAAGATGACCGATAATTAAGAAGCTAACATAGCTTAAGAAGACAGGGCTAGCTTTTCCATGTGGTGTCATAAATAGAGCTGAGTTACCCTCTGCCACTATCATCCTAAAAAGATTTTAGACATTTTTCTATTCATTGGGAATTCCCTGTCCCCCACTAAACACATGGCATACTTCAACCTAGCATTCTGAAGTTATAGAATAATTTATTACTGAAAGCATTTCTAAACAGTATTCATCCTGAATCTTAAGAAATATTTTTTTACTACTCACAATACTAAATTTCTATCTAGCAAGTCAATCTTTTATAATGTGTGAAATACCAATGCAGTAAGTTGATAAAAATTGCCATACTTACTTTGTTGACCTCTAAAAATCCATACACTTTGCACCCCTCATTTTTTTGCTCCTGCATTTTCTGGCTAAATCCTTCTCTCTTGCATTGCTCAATAGTATCTGGATTCTTGAAGGCCCACCCTCGCCGCCTATATGCTTCCCTCACATCATCACAACTATTGCAGCACCTGCCAAAAAACAACATGCGTAACACATTCATTAGAAAAAGAAAAGTTATCCATAAAACACAGCAATACTACAAAGCCTGCGAATTATGTTTTTCATAGATTTTTTGGATTTTTGCCAGAAAGTTAATACTCCCGTATGAACTGAAAGTAATACTAGGTAGACTGCTAGATGCCTGCCATGGCATTTCCAAAGCATGTGAAAACTGGGAGAGGATAAGACAGCCATCACAGCTATATTTGGATAATGAGTGGAGATGGAAAGTAGGGACATCAATATATAGTTGTTTTGTTAACCAAGTAGGATATCATAGAATTAAGTATCTGCTGAAATAACCCATGATCCAGAGTCTTTTGATTCATGGGACTGAGCATCCAATTAAATCTTATAGGAAAAGCCACATGACAAAGGGCTTGGATTGTTTAGAATTTCTCGGTTATCCTCAGTAGAAAGCATTTCAAAGGTCTAACACGCTTTGCTGATTGCCTGTGAAGCAATATAGCTTAGAATTCTATCCTACAGAGAGGATAATTTCTTCTTCATCTCCAGATGAGGAGTTAAACAGAAACATTTTATGCTCCCAGGAATGCAGTAGACTATGACATTCGCTAACTCATAGGCACAGGGGATAGGGGACCATGGTTGGGAAAGAGCACAAGCACAGTAAGTTACTGTTGCAATTAACAATTTGTACATACTACAAATTCCTGCAAGTAACCATCCAAAGAAAATAATGTACTAAAAGACTTCCACACAGCAGCCTTTGTTTCAGACAAAACTATTATTGCACAGTATGCAGTCCTATCTGTCTTGGGACCTTATAAGAGTTTTCCCTTGAGTGAATCCAGCAATTTAATCCAATCTAATCCCAAGCTAAGTGGCTGAAACTTCCACTAATTTCAGATGCAATCTGTCTGCTATTAGTGGAAAAACAGGTGATTGAAATCCATTCCCTACCCATTTATACTCTATTAACAATGAAAAGCCCAGTAAACTCATAGTGATTTTCTAGGCAAGAAAACATGGAAGAATATCAGCCTAACTACAAACAACCACAAACCCAATCTTTCTTAATAAATTTAAGAAATGCTATAGCTATGTAGCTCCCTCCCAACATTTTCTTGCTTCCAAGTCACAGTTAGAAAAGTAAAGTATACTTGATATCCTCAGATTCTGCTCCATAGCAGCTTTCACAGCGATCAGGATCTAACGAATTTGGATCAAAGACTGTCTCCTCTTCTTTTCCTAACTCTGAAATAAAAACATAATACCTGTAAAAGTAAGGCACAGACTAAGCATAGCGATATCAATGTAGAGCATGCTGAAACATCGCTAACACTGGTCCACCTCTATTAACTGTACCAAATATCTGGCCATAATAGAAACTTAGTGCCAGCCTGTCACTTTCATATTCTTAAAATCAGATGTCATAAAACTAAACCCAGTGTTACCATCTCATCTGCAATACTGCTCCCACACTGGAACAGTATATCTATTCTACCATGTCTTTCTGCTTCTGGAGTCACATGCTTGCCATCTTTATCCAAGCGCTGTTTGAAGAGATTGTGTTCAACATCTAGCTGTTGCTCTCCAGCCACATCCATTGCATCAATGCTCAAATCTGTAAAGTAACAAACACAGGCGGTTCAAAACCAATTTCTTGAGATCGCAGACAGTTATTATACACAATATATCCATTGGGCTATTAAAGAGATAGTACAGAATACTGACATTTTCTTGCAAAATATAGTAATTAGAGGACTGAGTACTCTAAAATCAATGTAGAACTATAATCATACTAACTAGGCATCTAAGGGAAGAATCCTGAATCAATACTAATGCACAAATTGAGGGTTGCTGAAAATCAAGAAAGGACACGTGCCACAGGTTAAACAACTCCCCCCATTTACTTACATCTGACTATTGTTTACATCTGAACCCTGAGAGAAGTACTTCCTTTTACCATTTCAAAACTACCACCTTGCAAATTGATGGAGTTGGTAGAGATACTGAAATTGACTATTTTGTTTAAAGAAAAGACTTTGCCTAACTTTGTTTCTACTTGGAAACTGCTTTTGGACTTCTTACTTGAAACTGAAAGAAATGAAACTTTAATTTTGGAATTTAATGATTAATACTGTTTATGATTATAGAAATACTGTGTATTAGTTTAAATTTTAAAGTAAGAGGTGAATGTATTATATATTTGTACCTATACCAAAGAAAATCGGAAGTTACCTTTTTTTTTCTTATTTTTTCTTTTCTACACTTTTAATCTTGTTCTCTTTCTTATCTTTCTTTTTTCAATCTTTTTTTTGTTGTTTCCTTATACTTTACCTTTTGCTGAAATTTAATAAAGTTCTTGGGGGGAAAAAAAAAACTACCACCTTGCAACCAGTATCCATATTACTTTACTTGGCAGAGAGGTTCCAGACACTTGTTTCTAACATGATTAATTAAAATATTATAAAATGCTATGCGAAGCCAAGGAGTGCCCACTTTCCACTATTTTATTTAACTAAAAAGCAAAATTCAATAGCCTTTACTCACAAGCACATGGCATATGTGGAAAAACAATGTCTATATTTATCCGCAGCTTATCTCCCCTTGATTTGTCAACATATAATTCTGGG